TTTTTTTGTTATGTTTTCTTTTCAAGATTTGTCAAATTCTGTTGCAACACATGAGGGGCAAATTGGGAATGAAGATGCTATTATTCTAGATTAAACAGTTTGGAGTGGACTAACTTTTATTTCATATCATATTTTGCGACTATTTTTATATGGACTGTTTATCTTTATATGGATTATTTATTCTGGATTAAACTGTTTATTTTATATGGACTATTTTGCATGTTAGAAGGGTATCAATCTAATTGAAATATTCTAGTTGTTTTTATATTAGTTATCTGCTTTCATTTTGTGGCCGTTTATGGTTTTGCATAGATTAAAATTGGTTTTGCATAGATTAGTTATCTGCTTTCATTTTATGATGAAGTCATAGATTAAAATTGGTTTTCACCAACTCGAGTAACCCGACCCTACCCGAGGTCACCTGAAAAGTTACGGGTTTGTAGATTTAAGAGAGTGTCGCGGCCCAAAATCTTCTCAACCCGCACTGGTCGGGTAGGCTCAATTTTTCGGCTCAACCCTACCCTACCCGGCCGATTTACACCCCTAGTTATATTACAATATTTTTTTTTTTACAAAAATTTAAATTAAAAATTTTTTTTATAATATTTTTATCTCGTATACACAACTCAAGTCTAACTCGCAAACGAACATACCTTAAAGTTTTTTTTAAATATAATCAAGTGTAGTAAGGACTATGTTAAGCCTTTTAAACCCGCACCAAGATCAAAATATAGCCTCTTGATCACACTATATCGGGAGGAGAAAAACACATTTCTTATCGTAGTATCTCCCTTATTTTAAAATAAAATAAAATAAAAGGTATATTTTTTTTCCTCGTGAGCCAAGGAACCAAACATCAAATAGCATGGTGGGTTCCAGACTTCCAGTAAAGAAGAAAGAAAGACAAATATCGTAGTCAAATTATCAAACCCCTCTCCTTTTGTGTATTAAATTTTCTCTCGCCAAAACCAGAAAATTACACACACAAAAAAGGGTCTTTCTTACACTTTGCTTCTTCAATTCAATCAATTCACATTCATTCATTTCTCCTCCAGATTTTCTCCAAACTTTCTAACACAAAAAAAGAAAAGAAAAGAAAAGAAAAGAATTGCCCAATGAGCGATCGTCGTCGCCGTCGCTAAAGATAAGTCGGAAAGTTCTCCGTTGCCGCCGCTCCGATTCGCCGCCGCGCCTTCCAATGGCTGCTCCGAGGAATCTGGCCGTGGACGCCGGCGTCAGGCTGTCGAGAGACGAGGAGAACGCCGCCGCCAAGGAGGACGATTCGCCCTCCGCAAAGAAGCCCAAATCCGAGAGGTTCCCGCTCACGCGCTGCGAGTTGGCGTCCGCCATGGGAGTCTTCTTGATCTTCTCCGCCGGCCTCTTCTGCATCTACTCCACCATGCCCTCCGCCGCGTACGGCAAGCTCAAGCTTCCCCGCACAATCTCGGATCTTCGCATGCTCAAGTGCGTTTGTTCGACTGTTTCTCTCCATTTTCCCATTTCTTGTTTTGCAATGCTTCACAGAGGAATTATTAGATTGTGCTTTTATGTTAATTGTAGCAGATCTCATCTCTCCATTGAAATTGGAGATTGATATTGAAATCTTGTTAGGTTTCTTATATATTCACTTTCTAGGGGGAATGAATTTTAGAATTCTTTTATTATTTTTATTTTTATTTTTATTTTTGTGGGTTTGGGAATGTAGGCAAATGCATTGAATAGATCCATGATGTTTTGATGTTATGAAAATAAAAAAAATAAAAAAAAGCCTACAAGACCACATGACATGGGTTTTGAAAAGGTTGGAACATACTAGTGGATATAAAGTAAAATATGGATTCTTGAAGACACGATATTGGTTTAATTTGGTACTGATTTACCAATTCTGGGATTTATTGAAATATATTATTCTGGGTTTCCTAGAGTTTCAAGGTTGATTTGATTGTCAGACTGATACTAAATCTCATGGATTTTAGGATCTTTTAGCTTCTCTGTTTCTCTGATGTGGTATTTACAAGTAGATAGTCCTGGCTTTCGTACCTGAAATATGTACTTTGGTTCTGAGATTTCAGTAAATAGTTTTTCCATGTAAATCTAGCTTAGTTTGATTTATTTTGGTCATCTGAACTCTATGTACACTCTTGTTTGTAATCAGCATTTGATCGTTCCCTGAATGTTGTGTTGACTCAAAATTTCTACAGAGAGCATCTTGCAAGTTATTCGAAAGATTTTCCTGCGCAATTCATTCTCGGTTACTGTTCCACGTACATCTTCATGCAGACTTTCATGATTCCTGGAACAATTTTCATGTCCTTGCTAGCCGGAGCACTTTTTGGTGTCCTCAAAGGTGTTTTCTTAGTTGTTTTCAATGCTACTGCGGGAGCTTGCTCGTGCTTTTTCTTGTCTAAGTTAATTGGGAGGCCTTTAGTTAGTTGGTTGTGGCCAGAAAAGCTGAGATTTTTCCAGGCAGAGGTATTACTTTTCTGTTTAGTCTTTTTGTACAGCTACACCGTGCTATTTTGCTATTCGTTTAGTCTTAAACTTCAATATTTTTCTATCCAGATAGCAAAGCGTAGGGAAAAGTTGCTTAACTACATGCTTTTCCTGAGGGTAACTCCAACATTGCCAAACCTTTTCATCAACTTGGCGTCTCCAATTGTTGATATACCATTCCATGTTTTCTTTCTGGCAACTTTACTTGGTCTTATTCCAGCAGCATATATCACAGTCAGAGTAAGCGGCCTCAACCTTTTATTTTATTTTTTAAAATTTTCAAGTACTTGCATTTATGTAATTTATTTATTTGCCTACAAATGCAGTTTCACATACGGAATTAGATAGTCAACTGCTTACGTTAGTTTTACAAACTTTTAGCTCGACCACTATCTGAAATGGTTGTATCTCATTAACGGCATGCTTAGTGATTATTCTCAATCATTTCTTTTCTTCTTTAACTTATCAACTATGTATTTGCGTGGGAATTGATTGTCAATAGACTGGGTGGAAGAGATATGTCGGTTAGGAAAGGACACAAAGCTCAATTATTAAGTGGACGTTTAGTTCATGAATTCAAAATCATGATTCAGAGCCATTTTCGATTTACGTGTGTTTTTTGTGAGAGAAAATACTGTAGCAAGCAACGAACTATGATCTGAACCATGACACGAATCCACCAACCAAACGCACACTAAGTTGCTCAACTTGTACCTTCCTTATGGACCAAATGAAAGCAAGGATCATTATTATGAGCCCCACAAAAAATCAAGATATTTATTCTTCTTAAAAACAAGATACATGAATCTTTATTAAGAAGTATGAAGCTATCTAATTATTATTGCTCTATTAGAATGTTGCTCTTAAAACTTTGAAGTTGAATTGTTCTACTTGACAGTGTTTCGTATATATTAGTGAACCAAATTTACTCATTTATTGATGTAGCAACTTCGAGAAACCAAATTTGTTCATTTATTGATGTAGCAACTTCGAGAAACCATATTTGTTCATTTATTGATGTAGCAACTTCTAATTTTCCCATAAATAAAGACCTATTTTTATGTGACGCAGTGTTTTTGCTTTGAGTGATTAATAAATTGTGACATTAGTTGGTTGGTGACTTGATAAAACTACTGTTCTTTCCCCCTTTTTTTTCCGCTGGTAAAAATTCTAAAGTTTCTGAACAAATTCATGTTCTTATATAGCTAGACTTGTGTTTTATCAAATATGGCCTTTGTGATATGGTTCTCTAGATACTTGCCTCATTTGATCTTTGGACCTTTGTCTGAACTTCTAGTTTCTTTTAAGCTGGTTTTTCTTTTGTTTCTGTCTGAACGTTTTGGAATAATAATTTTCTGTATGGTTGCTGATTATGTTTTAACCAGGCTGGCCTTGCTCTCGGGGATCTTAAGTCGGTCAAAGATCTATACGATTTTAAGACTTTGTTTGTGCTTTTCCTTATTGGTTCGCTTATCATACTCCCTACCATTTTGAAGAGGAAACGAATCTACGAATGAGAACTTCTGCTAGTTAGGTTCCACAGTCCTGTCAAAGGCAGCTTATTATGTGCCCTTCGGGCAGGCTATAGATTGTAAGCTCTAACAATGAATTATACAGGTTAGTTGTATTAAAAAGAGTATATTGGGAATATTGGTATTGATATAGTCCAGAATATTCATTCTTTTAATAGAAATCAAATTCATAAACAAATATTGGAGGAGATTGTGCAAGGAAGGATATTTATGATTTTGTAATGCTCATGAACAATGTAAACACTGACTAGTTGTTGTATCACGGTTCTTCATTTTAATGACAATGTCGAAAACTAATAGGTTTATTTATCCCCCCCCCCCCTTTCTTTTTTAAGAGTGAATGACGTGTTTGAAACTCGTTTCAAAATGATTTTATTTTTTGTATAAAAATGGAAATGAAAACGTTTTCAATCTAAGACAAAAATCGTTTTTAAAAATGCGTTTGGTAGTTTTATCAAGAGATTGTTTTCAGTATAAAAAACCCATTAATATTTCTCTCGCTCTCTCTTTGTTCGAGAGAGAAGAAAATGAAAACATTACACTAAATTAAAAAATTATTTTTATTTCTATTTTTTATCTTTAATTGTGCTAAACACCGTTTTAAAATCGTTTTCATTTTTTATTTTTTAAAAAATGTGAAAAATAAAAATAAGAACAATTTTAAATACGGTATTTGAGTTGAACTGTCCTGCATATCTTCTTTAACATGTTTGAGTCATTGGTATGACTCAATGCTTTATAAGCAAAAGTATTACACTCTGTACTTTATGTCTGCTTTAATTTGACAATTGCATGTTCAACCCGATTTTATTGTATTTCTTTTAGGGAGGCTTCAAATTACATTGGTTTGGAAAAGTTGTAAATTGGATGGCAGTAGCTTATGTCATCTAGAAACTGGTCCAATCAATATGATTTAAATGTCCTCGGCGGAGACAAAAAGCGTGTCTACTAGAGTCCTAAATTGGCATCTATCTCCAATTTGGAAGCTATCCTAATATGAATTGAAAGAGTCGATTCAACTAAAAATACAAAAAAACTTTTTTATTGACGAAAAACTTGTAGGGCCCGACTTGTACAGGAACACCTGCAGCAAGTAGAGACGTTTTTCTGTATAAAAAAGAAAATGATAATTCGTCTAATGTATATAGTGCAGATGTTGAAAATTCTTTAGTATAGTGAAACAAGTGCAGGTGTCTGCCTATGTCCGTGGCTTGGCAAAGTCGGGAAAATTTGGTCCGTCTTAAAAGAACTGTTGGATTTCAAAAAAAGAAAAAAAAAAGTAAATAACTATATTAAATTGTTAAATCGCAAATTTGATTCAAATAATATCTTACAAAAGAGAAAGGCAAATGAAAATTTCCTTGACAAAAAGATTTGAGATTAAAATCTTGTATCATACAGCAGCCTCGTCAAGTGTGACAGCGGGATAGTCTTGATAGCCCGTGATGCCTGTTATCTTTATCCGGGTAATTGGCTGCAGTATCAATTAATATCTAAATCAATTCTAGGTTTACTAACAAGAAAAAGGGCAACAAAAAGGCAGAGAGCTAAAAAGCTTACTTTAGAATCAAACATATGTCAAGACAGTTGACAATTCATAAAGCCTTTGATTTTCTTTGGTAATTTTTCTTTTTCTTTTTCTTTTTGTCTAATTTTGTCCCATAGGACTTCAACTCAAGACTCAATACATTAAGGCCCGTTCATTTCACCAATTCGAATTTTTAATTTCAATTTTGTTACAGTTAAAAGCTCTCACAAAAAATCGCATTTGACTTTTTCTGCTATAGTGAAAAATTCTCACATAAAATCACATCTCAACTTGAATTGAAAACTCGAATCCGCAAACTGCACGAGACCTAAAAGAAACTTTCACACACACTAGAACACCAAGTCTGCGAATGTAATTAGATGTAGCTGAACTAGAAGAATAATTCACACCCGTAGCGTTAAGGTTATCAGTGAGAGGCAGCAAAGATTTCCTTTTTGTACTAACACACATATATATATATATGTAAGAATCAATTAGAAGCATGAAATACTTGTGGTTATAACATAAGATCAATGAGATGAACGGTCAAATACCTGACGGTGACCAATATTTCTCCGGTAATTTTTCTTCTTCTTATACTTGAAGACGATTACTTTTTTATCTAATCCCTGATGAAAGAACATATAACAAGAAGAGGCAGTGAATAAAATATTAAATAAAGAAGATAACTTGCTATATGGACACTCAGACAGGCTCATTTTGAAGAGGCTAAAAATGGGGAGTGTCATGAGAGTAGTAAATTACTTGCTCTTCCACTACTGCGTGTACAGCGGCATTCGTCACCACTGGCTTGCCAATGTATGTGCTGTTTTTTGTTCCCACAAGCAGAACTTTCTTGAGAACAATCTGCGCAATATCCAACACTTTTAACGTGCTAAGAACTGGTAAGCACTAAGGCAACAGAGAAAACACCGCACAACTCCAAGATACATGGCAACGCGGCAGGTAAACTTTCTATGGTCTATAACTATGGTATAAAAACCTATAAACTCCGGGAACATGCCATTCAATTTTGAAAACCGAAATATTTCAAATACATATTTCCTTGCAGAATATCTTTGCTCCACACTAAGAACTAGAAAGGTATGACTTGTCATGTAATTTTCCAAGTTTACAAGCCTTTATCTCCTTAAAATCCTTGCCTTCACCACTAACCTTCCAATTTTCATTGCTACCATAATGAAGATTCTAAAGCCAGAGTCAAAAGTAGACAAGCTTCTCTTGTCAAAAGAAAGAAAAAAAATAAAGAAAAGAGAGAAAAATTCACCTTATTACTTAGGCAAACCAAATATAGTTGGAAACTAGAAATTCAAAGCAACATGCCTGATTGCCTTCATCATATCCTACCATCACCATTTCTAAAATCAGCAGTCCTGAAAATGTGAAGCCAAGTGCCGTGCTGCAGAAGCCTAATTGCACCCTCTCAAGTCATAAAACTCACTATCCACCAAGCTTCTTGAGATACTAAAACTGAACCAGCCCAGTTAATCTACTAATCCTACCTGGGGAACTATCAGTTTGACTCAAGTCTAGTGGCTTATCAAGTTTCCATAATATTGACTTGCATGCCCAGAACATATTTCATCAATATGATTTAATGCTTGCAAAAATTGGAAGAAACGCAGAAAGATCATTAAATTTAACAAATTAATGCATCAAAATCAGATCAGACTGTATGAGGGGAGCACAGAAACACACAAGTCAAGCGTTCAGATTCCTCAATCACATAGACATAATGCAATGTAACGAAGAAAACCTTTCAAACTTACATATAAAATTAAGATCAAAATTCAAATATTAGAGCTTAGACTATTCATGATGTCAAACACTTGCTCGTGAAATCATCCTCCAAAACAAGTTATATAAGTGACTCGCTCCAGCTTCTCAGTAGTATGAAAGAACATTCTTTATTAACATCCCCAACCTATTCTTAATTTTGCTCCGTTTTACCTTAAGCAAAATCTCGAGCATGAATTTCTTAATAATTGTAGACCTATTTATAGTTACAAAACACTTCCAAGGGTCTCCAATTACTACCTATACACACTCTAACAATACCAACTAACCTCAGAATCTACAATTTTCTGTTATCATTCTGGTTTTGTCGAGGTCTTCGGAAAAATGATGAAACTACATGAATGTTATCACCTATAATAGCACTGAGACCGGTACCTATTGACAAATTACTCTTTGTACTTAGATGCATGTAGCCACGTACAAAGCTACTCAAAAGCCCAACCAACAGATTTGAGTCCCGGACCACCAGAAAACAAGAGGCCTAATTTCAATTTACAAGCTACTAGTATACATACTTTATAACAGTCGTACAAAATATACCAACAGAATTCAAAGTAGCGTATAACCAACAACAATAACAACAAGAATGCAATACCTTATCATTAATATTGGCCCCTTTAAGTCTCTGAGTGTAGATAAACCGCCCAGGAAAAACAATGTATTGGCGCGATCCTATCTAAACAAGGCCAAAATAAAACAAAATCCTCATGTGAAAACCCAAAACATCTTATTGAGCCAAAAAAAAAAAAAAAAAAAGCAGCATCGTAGCATTTCCAAATATTCATCTGGAAAAGCCCAAAAACTTAGCAACAACCATCCGAGTAACCGCAAAATCACAGTAAAGGTTTTTTTTTTTTTTTTTAAGCATAGTATTTTCGACAATGTTCATCTAGCAAAGCCCAAAAATATAAGTAGCATTGAGTATTGTCATCTGAGTAACCGTAAAATCATAGTAAAAGAAGAAAAAACAAAAACAGTATTTTCGATGATATTCATCTGGGAAAGCCCAAAAACACAATTAGCGCAGAGAATTGTCATCTGGGTAACCACAAAATCATAGCAAAAGATGAAGGAAAAAAAAAAAAGAAATCGACAATACTCATTTGGGAAAGCCCAAAAACACAAGTAGCACTGAGAATTCTCAAATGGGTAATGTCAAATATCATTCAGAAAACGACATACCATAACCACAGCGAAGATTTCCTCGCGCTTGGGGGGTGGCTCCTCCGGCGAGGCTTCGACGGCTGGTGCGGCGTCCTCCTCGAGCTTCGGCGTCTCGACCTCGGCCTCGAGCACCGGCGGCGCTTCGGACTCGGTGGCGGCGGCCCTCGGAGGAAGCGGGAATGCGAGGCGATTCGAGGAGAGAGAGAGCTTGTGGGAAGAAGGAAGAGAGAGAAAGGGGAGATTAGGATTGTTAGAGACAACTGGAGTTCGCAGTTTGTGTGAGATTTTGCATTGAACGGAGAGAGAAGAGCACAATGAGAGAGTTGAAGAGGCCATCTTCGAAAGGAAAGTTGAAAACTGGAAATGGGTAATCAAAGCTCTCTCCTTCTATCGTTTAATCAATCCTCTGTTCGTTTGGTTTGTCAGTGTGGCTTGGAGTCTTTGCCCGACATTCTGGAGAAGGCTTATCCTATCACTCACTCCTCCAATAACCCATGTAAGCATATATTATGTAGCCTTTGAAATATACTTTTGGCCATTTAAAAAAAAAAAAAAAAAATATATATATATATATATATATATATATACTTTTGGGAAAATTACACTTGCTACCCATGTTTTTACAATATTACTATTCATAACCAATATATAGGGTAATTGAGTAATTAAAGGTGTGTTCATTTGCACAACTTAAGTCATGATTTGGGTTGTGTATGTGAGAAAAATATTATAATAAAAAAGTTGAATTTAAATTTATATAAAAGAAAATATTGTACTAATATGACTTGAATCATGACTTGAGTTGTGCAAATGAATACACCATAAACAATCCATTTTTTTTAGTGAGGACTTTAATTCTATATTACACACACATATATTGCTGAATTTACTAAAATAGCATTAAACACAAAGTTTTCTTTCCTTAGTAAAGTTAGGGCTGTCAGTCGGTTATTAGCTGGCAGATGTGGCATAATCGGTTCTGATTAAAAGCATTTGGTTTTTAAAATGTGAAATTGAACACGGAGACGTTCGGTTCATGAATTAAAATCATGAGATTAGAACTATTTTTGAATTTTACGTATATTTTTTGTGAGAGAAAACACTATAACAAACCATAAACTATGATTCGAATCAGGGTACGAATCCCCTTACCAAACGTTCGATAATGAAAAAACTGGTTTTTGACTAGTGTTGGTCGGTTTCTGACGAACAATTTCAATAGGTTTTGGTGGACAATAACCAAGTAATTTATAGGTAGTAACCTAACAGTTCACAGTTTTTTTTTTGTTTGGGTAATCATGATAGATACCCCTTGAAAGTGCATGAGTCAAGAATTTTTACTCTTTTACTCTTGATTCATAACCTTTTTAGTTAATTAATTATACTAACAAAATGATATTTATCGAGAGTAAGAAATAAATGTCAAATCTCATATATTTTTAAAGATAAATTTTCTATTTTTTCTTGTTGGTGTTGTTTTTAAATTTTTAAAACATATTATTTCATATAATTAATATAAAAATAAAAATATAAAAGCCTCCGTCGGTTCGGTTTCAAACCAAGATCAAATACCTATTATGACTATTTAAGCGTGGCACTGAATTTTCAATTTTTCACAGTTGGTTTTTCGATTTGGTGGCAATCAGTTTTTGTTTTTCAGTTTCTAGAACACCGCTCGTTGAATTTGTTCCTGCCTCTCCCTTCACCCTCAAAACAAATCTAGAAAACTGCAACTGAAAATTGGAATATCACGTGGATGAATTTTCCTAACAACCAACAAATTTTTTCATTCCAACCACGGCCAAGGAATTGGCTGTGAATTTTGCAATGCTACCTCAAATATGAAGGATCAAGTTACAATACTCGAAAATAAAGGGTTCATTTTTTACATAATTGGAATGTCAAGGGTTACTTGGGTAATAGATTCTTTGCAATTTTTATAAATTTCTCATTGGGCGAGAAAATTTTGAAAAAAATCCATATAATTAGCATCTTTTTCCTGCTAAATCGTGTCCAAACACTGCAAGATATTGTGAGATAAGATTAACAAAACACTCATATATGCAAGTAAATTGAAATAGGAACTAAAGAAAATGGTATTAGGAAAGAAGTGTTATGTCAACAATTCTTAGTGTATAAAATAATTTTAGGGAAGGCTTTGTAGAAAAGTTTAAATTTAAAAGAATTTTCAGTAATTTCTAATATTAGAAGGGTATCCGGAAGAGATTGAAAGACAAGGAAAGATATATATATATATATTGAAGGTAGAATGAATTGTGTAAGTATTATGAAAAAGAAACATCAAGACCCATATCAACACGTACAATGGACAAAACACAACTAGAAACTTCCTCTAACCAAAACCAATCCTCATTTAAGGTAAAAGGCAAGACTCGCTAGTATGGGCTGCTGTATTAGTCTGATGAGAATATAGCAACATAAACCGGACATATGATATTATTGAAAATAGGACCTTTTGCAACAAAAAGAGCTCAGATCATTTACAGCTTTTACTGCATTAACAAGTTGGTTTCACCAGCCACCCTAAGGCCACTATTCTTGGCAAACAAGGTACCCTCCTGAAGTGCTAAAATCTCAAAAGTCAAACGGAGGGAACACCGCCATTATTCTTTTGGAAAAAGCGCTAAACACAAAACCTGCAGCATTTCGAACCAAGCCTCCAACAATCACTACTACAAAACTTGAGTGAAGATCCACAGAGGCATCTACATTGAGCTTCAAAGTATCCCCTCACGCTGCTGAAAGGCTGCAATTTGACAGCTTGAAATGCTCCAAACTCCGCCAACCACAACCCGACATGTCTATTACAGCTTCCTAAACCTCTCATAAATCCCCATAAACCTCAACCTACTATAATGATTATGGAAACAAACATTCGTTAAAATTACTCATCCCCCCAATTTTGGCACACAAGTACATAATATGATTATAAAGCACAAGAAAATGAAATTTAGCAAATACAACATAAAAGTTGAAGTATATGGATGTTTTGCAGCATGTGCTTTAGGACCAAAGATATATATAAACCTTAGCTTTATTGTGGGCTTTGTCAGTATGGCGTTTGAGGATTTCTAATTTCCTTTTATTAATTGTTCTTAGCAGGAGGGATTTTTTTTTTTTTTGGTAAGAACAATAAATTAAATGGCATATCAAAAGAACAAATAAAACTTTCTTTCAAAATGAGAAAAGGTCTAAGCATGTAGGCATTGAAATTGAAATTCTTTCAAATTGCTTTTTACCTACCTAACTGTACAAAAGATTGCTCATATTTAGTAGTAGCTCAAGTTGAGTCTCTCACTCCAAAGGCGTCCGCCAAATTGAAGGTTAAATTGTTTCTTAAGCTTCCACTCCTCCCCACGCCTCCATCAGCCTTCCTCATCATTGCTGCAAACTCGCCATAGTCTATTCGTCCATCCTGTGAATGAGCCAATTGAGCAATAAATTTTCTTTAAGCATTTTATCTTCAAGACAAATCAATCATCTTTGTTCACATTGTCAATAGATTTAGTTTAGGAGAAATGAAGAAGAAAATGCCAGAGATTACGTAATTCAGAAAGTGTAAAAGCAAGGGATGTAATTATTTGTCATATGAAAATCAACAGAGAGAGAGTTGAATAAAACAACAAGCTTGAGGGCTTTGTTGATTCTGAATGCAAAGAGGAGAATTTTTTTTTTTTGGGGTGGGAAATGTGAGGAGAAGGGTTAAAAAGGGTAAGTAGAGGTTTGGTGCAGAGAAATATCAGAATTCGACGTACAAAATATGGACAAGTTATATATATAAGCTAAGGAAGATAGCAAGTATTCTTATTCTTTTTCTTGATAGTGATATATCTTCAGACTAATAGGAGTAATTTTTTTCCCCCGTCTTCCGATATTGATTATAAAAAAAAAAAAAAAAAGGAAGAAATATTACAAAAAACTTTCACCATTCGTACCTAATTGATTAAAGGTTATAAACACTATAAGTTCCTCATATTATATGCAACAGCACTTAACGTAAGATCATATAGGAAGTTCTCTACTAAGTCTCCTTCATGAAACTTTTAAATGGTTATTCGACCCTTTTTTTAAAGGAGAATTATAAGCCTTTATAACTCTTTTAAAAGAACCAAAAAGAACAGATAAGGTGAGTTAGATTAAGGATAATGAAAATGCAATGTTGAATAAATGACTCAGAATCTATAAGGAGAAACTGAAACCTAAAAACTACGTAAGCAAAAGACTCACATTGTCTTGATCAATTTCTTTGATCATCTCATCCAAATGGACATCACCTAGACCAAATTCTTTGCAAGCATCTTGAAACTCGTCAATGGTGATGTAACCACTACCATCTTTGTCAAAAAATGAGAAGGCCGCAATTAAATTCTCTTCCCTCACCAATTTATTTAAGTGCAAGGTAGCAGCAAGAAATTCACCGTAGTCTATTGCTCCACTGTTGTCTATATCAGCCTGTCAAAGTTGTTCATCACGTTAGATAAAAACATTATCGCAATGGACATCAAATTCACACATTTTGTGCATTTAACGTTTTCTATGTGCATCTTAGTGTGTATATATTGACATGTATTCACTTGACTACAAACATAGCGAACATCATCTCAAGGTTTAATATGATCTATTTACCGCATTCATAAGAGACTTGATTTCAGATTCCATTAGCTCAGAACCAACTTTTTTCAGACCCTCTTTAAGTTCCTCAAATGTTATTGTCCCACTATTGTCTGTGTCAATCATCCTGAACAACTCTTTTAGGCCGCCGATTTCTTCCTCTGAGAGTCTTTCTGCGATAACCTACAAATGAACTTCTCACATTTAAATGCATGCACAAAGGAAAATCAAATGAAAAGGAAAAATGAAATCTAAGACAAGCATTTTCTATCCTGGAACAAGAAGAATGGATTTCAAAACTTGTGTTGGTAAGTAGATTTTTGGGTCCCTGTCATGTGATCTACTTGCAATTTGGAAAAGAAAACGAAAAATTTGAGAAAACATACTCGCAGAGCCATCTTTTTAAGTTTATTCATTGCTGCGAACTGCTTCAGGCGGGACAAAACCGCAGAGTCTAATGGCTTGTCTGGGGCAACTCTGTCATCCATAATCCACGGGTGGCCTAATAGATGAAAAGAATTAAAGTAATAGTTCAAAGAAAATGCACCAGTGTAACCTTCCTTGCACATGACAACTCACCCAAAGTAATAGATAGAAAAGAAACTTACATAGGACTTCATGGGCAGAGATTCTTTTCTTTGGGTCCCTTTCAAGCATCTTTTGTATCAGATCTTTTGCACTTTCTGAGATGCTAGGCCATGGTTCAGATTGAAAATCTAGTTTTCCGTGTAAAATCTGTCTGAATATCCCCGATTCACTTTCTGTTACACATTTCAGAAGTTATAAAAGAGGAAAAAAGTCACTGTTCCTGAATCCAGTTTGTAATATCATCAAGAGGCCTACCTGCCCAAAAAGGGGGAACCCCACTTAGTAAGATGTAAAGAATTACCCCCGCACTCCATACATCGACCTCCGGTCCATAATTCTTCCGCAAAACCTCAGGTGCAACATAATAGGGGCTTCCAACTACCTCATAAAAAGTTTGTCCTGGAGAAGGCAAAAGAAAAGAACCATTATTATGTGATGGATACCACTCAAGAATCAAGAAACTGAAACAATCCCATATGAGAGGAATGAAAAGGAATGTATACAAATGCCATCTATACATTCCCATCTTACCAACAGAAAACACTAAACTGAATTATGCCCCGGGAGGCATTGTGGTTTTGTTTAAACCACACCGGACATTTCAGAAAATTTACAAACATGATGTACTTTAGATCCTAAAATCCAAAAAATTTCGTGAAACATGATGCAATTCAGATCGTGCAATCCAGAAAGTTTCATGGACATATGAGTTCTCTAGCTCACATGCATAATTAAATTCCCAATTGTTACAAAAACCATTAATCAGATACAATATTAAAGCTCACCACCATGACGTTTATCACAATAATTAACCAATAGATACATGTCGAAGAAGATAGCTCTCTTTTGAAAAATGGGCACCTCATCATCTTACCATATTAAGAATAATTTACTGAACTTAGTTTCCACAAAACACAACTATCCAATTAACAGATTGCAGAGTACTTTGAGGCTTCTGGGTTCTGACAGAGGAGATTACATATTATTAAAATCCCTATGCCAACTAGAGGTGTTAATTGGGCTGGGCCGTTCCTGCTACAGTAGTCAATTCGGCATGGCCTGATTCTGTACTATTATGGGCCGGGCCGGCCCGGTACGCCAGAAGGGCATGAGTTAGGCCTCATGTTTGAGGCCCGCAGCCCAGGCACAGCCCAGGCTCGCGAAGGACCAGGCTCGCGAAGGGCCAAGCATGGCCTGCGAAGGTCCAGACCCGCGACATGAATTTTAATGAGATTTGAGACATTTTAGTGCCAACCGGTCAACCTATGTCGTCCAGTCAACCAATCATTTTCTTGTAATTATTCATATTATTTCAATAAAATCACAGGTTTTTAGGTATATGATATATTACTTTTTTTTTGTCATCAAATATGAAATTATAAAAAAAAAAAAATTCTAAAAAAATTGTTAATCATAAATGAAACTCAAGTGCATTAAGAAAATTAGGTTAAAATTGAGTTTTGAGGGGAATCCAGTGTAATCCGATCGTCTGGTAGCAGAGAAATTGTAAGTCACCGATTGACCGGTGAGGCGGTCGACTGGTGCCTGCTCAATTGCCATAAATTGAACCGTTGAACATGACTTTTAGTAGGGCCGGCCTAATAAAGTCCTAAAGGGCCGGCCCTATGAAGGTCCTACATGACCATTAGTAGGACCGACCCATAAAGGTTTGGGCCTGGGTCCGGCCATGTGCTTGGGCTGGTCCAGGCCCATGACGGGCCTGGGTCAGAAGGGCCGGGCATGGCCTTTTGACTCATCTAATGCCAACAACTGACCGGTAAAAAACGACAAGGTTTTACTCTTCCTAAGGAGATTGAAAGCTGTACCTAGTCTTAATCATGAGAGACCAATAACATGCCATCAGTGTATAAGCAGTTAAACTTTGAAGTTTAAAGTAATATTCTCAAATCTGAATTACATGGTACTTAAAGAATCTGATAAAATCAATTATAATACATCTTCCTAAGCCACATATTGTTAGTTTTTTCGTGTCTTCTCTCGCCCCACAAAAATGAAAAAATTCATTTTTTACATATTTCTAAGTCCTTTAACTCTTGCTTTCTTCTTCTTCTTTTCTTGTGATAATTTAAAACTCTTCTATCATTCAAGACAACCACGATCACATTAAAAAAAAAAAGCAATAAACTGCAAATACAAAGCAGAAAAGAATACCAAATATCTAAATCACACTTCAAATCAATCAAGCACACCAAGAAAGAAACTTGAGCTCGTTTAGTTCGCTGATTCGAGTTTTTAATTCGAGTTCAGATGTAATTTTATGTGAGAATTTTTTATTGTAGTAAAAAAGTTAAATGTGATTGATTTTTTAAATTTTTTATTATAATAAAACTCAAATTTTAAATTCGAATTGTAAAATGAACGGCTTTAATTTGATCCCACCAAACCAAATAGAAATATACATTTTGTCATTCCAAAATCTCACTCAATCCCAAAAAAAATAAATAAATATATCTAACCTGGCTCGTAGAAGACAGAGAGACCAAAATCCGTGGCCTTAAGCTGGGCATCCTCGGAAGTCGAATCGAACAAGAAATTCTCGGGCTTCAGATCCCGATGCACAACCCCAAGAGAGTGACAAGTCTCAACAACCCCGACAATCGTCCTTATCAGCTTCACGGCCTCCTTCTCACTGTAATGCCCTTTTTCCACAATCCTATCAAACAACTCCCCTCCCGCACACACCTCCATTACCAGATGAACGAACACCGCATCCTCGTAACTCCCTTCGATCCGTACGACGTTCGGGTGTTCGGAGAGGTGGTGCATGATCTGAATCTCCCTCAGAACGTCGTCGTAGTCCTCTCGGCAGAGTAGCTTCCGCTTCGGGATCGACTTGCAGGCGAAGTGGGCCCCGCTCGATTTCTTCGTGCACAGATAGGTCGTCCCGAACTGGCCTTGCCCGAGCTTCTTGCCCATTATGTAATGGTCTCTCAGCCGTGGTGTTTGGTACGGAAGAACCGTCGTTGCTATGAGCTTCCCCGACGACGACGACGATGACGATGATACGCTCTCTTTCTTCATCTTTCTTTCTTCTCTCTCTCTCTCTCTCTCTCTCTATATATATATATATATATATTGTTTGTGTCGAATTGAGGTGTGATGTTATTGAGAAGAAGATGCTGTCATAGATTTACTGGTTTGTTCATGAATGATGTTGGGTTTTGATCATCTCGGTGTTGATGATCCATTTTGTTGCGGATAGTCAGGAAAGTGGGAGAAATATGGCTGGTTAGCTATTATTGGGTTTTTTTATTTATTTCAAAAATAAAAAATTTAATATTCCATGGTGTAGGACCATGATTTCATGTAAGACTGATGTCATTCAGCTGGCCATTTCTTTTTTATTATTATTATTTAAAAATTCAGTAACCCATGATGAAGTAAAAGGTGCGTTTGTAATTGATTTCAAAACGTTTTTGTTTTTTGTACGAAAATGAAAATAAAAACGTTTTTAGTTTTATTTTTGAGTTATTTTTGAAAATGCGTTTGGTAGTTTTATTTAGA